GGATTGCAAAATACAGGAAAAACATAGGAATGACTGTTTGATTGGGCCGCAGGAAAAACACAGGAATTTGAGGAGAGATAAAGACTCAAATGATTCTTTCCATGAGGTTCTACCTCATGTTAAGTTTCCTCCAAAACTTACATGGGAAAAGACAATCCATATAAATTTCATAGGATTCCACAGGATCCATTCCTTTGATGCAAAGGGCTATACAGGAAAAAATCCTATAGTAATGAAATCCTCTAAAATTCCTATGAATTTCCTTTGAATCAAAGGGGCCCTAAGCCTGGCTTGGTTTGAAATAAAAACAATAATAATACGGTGGTTGGATGGATTGGGAAAATAGTACTCCATAATCACTTATACTTTTAGACAAAATTTAAATCCTAAATCGTTTATTTTTGTAAACAGAGGGAGTAGTATTTGCTAGATTGCTCTCTGTGCCAAACAATGTAACTGGTTCAGGACTTCAGGTAGCTGTGTTTTAGTTCATACCAAAATTGAAAATTTGGTTAAAATTGGAACGATGTGATGGAAAAGTTGTAAGTTTGTGTTGTAGGAGAGTTTTGATGTGACGAAAAAGTTATAAGTTTGAAGAAAAACTTTGAACTAAAGACGGCGGTAATGTCAATTGCAAGAAAAAATTGACATAATCACCGGAACAATGATGTCCAAGAAACTGCAGGACTGAAACAGTTTCTTTCTGTCAGACATCTAGCCTCTGGTGTCGTCAGGCCGAGGAAATTCCATTACCTCAGCATGCAATCAGCAGAGATTCTGATTAAGTGACAATTAATCCAGTTGACGTTCCCCATCAAAACGATAAACATGGAACATCGCGACATCATCACGTCGCACACGATTCGATCAGTAAGCATAAACATCTGCATTCAGTGTGCAGATCCTCGCACAAAAAAAGAAGAGAAGAAGAAATGCAATAATGGACATTGGGCCATGGGAGATTGAGGATTCTCCGCACAAAACATGATAAAATGATCTTGCGATCTACTTGCATTGCACCGAGAAAAATGCTCATCTGTTCCTGCTATCTTTGATTCCTCCAAACAGTTTCTGAATTTTGGTGCTTCTTCACGTGTCCAACAGTCTGTAATGGGCTCCCATTTGCGATGAGTTGCAACTGCACGCGTTGGATGCTGCCAGTGTGAGATGATTCTATTCTAGCTGTCGTGCATCTTATCATGGATTGGATTGGATTGTTGCCACCATCTGAATTCTGAAATCTCGCATGAACAAGCAGCTTTTATATATCATCATCTTGTAATCTAGAGCTCCCCTTCTGTCTGAAAACTAACTTTGTTGTTGCAGACTCGACTACGTTTGTGATGAATCTTAGCTCGACATTTCAAATGTTTTTGCGGCCTGGTGTGCCTGCGCAAAGTGGTATAATTGAAATCAAGATGTCCTTCTCACCGAAGATCTTTGGATCTGAAAATCATGATGATATGTGGCAGACATTCTTTGCTACTACCTCTGTCTTAAAATACGTGTAGCCATGAGTTTCCGCGTCCAACTTTGATCGTCCGTCTTATTTGAAATTTTTTTATAATTAGCATTTTTGTTGTTATAAGATGATAAAACATGAATAATACTTTACTCGCGACTTATATTTTTAATTTTTTTAAAAAAATTTTTAGATAAGACGAATGGTCAAAGTTGGACGCGGAAAACTATGGCTGCACTTATTTTGCGACGGAGGGAGTATCAGCTAGAACAGGTCTGGTCCACGAACCACGATACTATAAATGCAGTGTGCCAGTGTCTAGCGTACAAGTTGGAGTCACAGTCTTTTTCTCAAAATTCTCTCGGATACGTACGGATATAACACATCCCAAATTCGATCTGATGTGTCGGTTTAAATTAGAAAGATTAACAAGAAAAAAGAACGAAATTTAAGCCTATTTTGGTTAATACTAATATTGCCCCAACATGAAGGGATGGATAAGCCTGTAACACGTAGGCCTGAGCGGGTGACGTAGCCGAACCAACACATGGCCCTAAGAGCAAGTTTCATAGTATAGCCAACTACTCACTCCAAATCATCTATAGTCAATTTTATAAGCAATTCATACAATAGTTACCTATGAACATACTCCCTCCATACTCGTAAAGGATGTCGTTTTGGACAGCGACACGGTCTTCAAAATACAATTTTAACTTCTTGTTTCTATAAAAATATTTATTAAAAAGTGATATATATATACTTTTATGAAAGTATTTTTCAAGACAAATATGTTCATATAATTTTTACATTTTTAAACTCAACAACTTGATAGTTATTCATGATTTATATTTCTAAGGTTTGACTTAAACATTGTCCTAAACGACTCCCTTTATGAGCACGGAGGGAGTATGTAGTACTACACAATTTGTACATAGTCTCACGTATCATACACATATTCCGTTTTGGAGTTCGTACCGTAGCTAGCTATAAATCTATAGCTCGATGTTCTTCTCTATCCTCTTTTATCTTCTCGAAATGTGCTTAGAGTGGCTTTATAGTGTGCTATTGTACATGCTCTAAGCAGGTGACGTGGCTGGTTCCGGCTTCCACCTTGCCTTATCCATCAACAAGTCAGCCGTTCCAAGCGTACAGGATCTGGCTGAATCCGACCGACGATATCGTAGCGGTAGGTCGCCGACTGACTAGCTGGCTGCTGCCACGCGAGAAGAAGCCCGGTTAGCAGATGGTGACGTGGCATCTAGTGAAGTGGCTCATTCTGGATAGGGAGGCAATGGATCTTTAGTACGAGTAGCTTTCTTAACAAAAATGAACTTAATTTAAAGTGCACGAGTATGTATGTATATATATGTATGTATTTGCGTGTGTATATATATCATGGTCGGGGTATATTTAAAGAGGGATGGAATGCAACCGGTAGAATTAGCGAATTTTCCTTGAGTTGTGTTTGCTTTTATTGAACCAAGCCAGCTCACACAAGTCAAAAACCGTGAAATTCAAGCGGTTTTTGATGCGTTTGCTATAAATATTTGATAGTTTATGACATGATTTAGGCAAACTTTTAAAATATCGACCATCAATTTTATACCATGTTATAATTAAATTGGATTTCTCAGTGCAATTTTAAGAAGACTAACTAAATTGGATTTGTTATACAACCTTTAGCTCATGCTTTCATATATCCAAATACAACATGCAAAGTAGTATTAGATTTAAATTCCCTAGATTGAAAATTACAACTCATTTTCTTCTATTTTTATATATACCACCATTTAGTATATAATTATTACTATCAATCTACACAGTCATAATTTGATCCCACCATGATCAAAGGCCTTTTTTTTTTAATAATTTGATAATCTAACGTCAACTTTTTTGGGGTTGCTTTTTGAAGCATGAAAAGAAAAGGGAGGAAAAGGAAAAAAAATCAGAATATATTGGGTTCACGGTACAACCGACCAGACAATTGATAACTGAGAGGGAAAAGTGTATTAATCTCTTAAGAGAATATCTCATCGTTTTTTTTACATGTCATCTAAATGGTTATAAAGATGCGAAAGGGCCTATAGCCTTTTTTAATCTCCAGGATTTGCCAACCCAATTTTCGAAGATGCTCATAGTCATAGGGGTGAGTGTAATAAATTGACAAGATAGATTGATGCCCAGTTTTCAAAAATGCTCATAGGTTAATCTCTGGAATTTATCGGCCCAGTTTTCGAAGATGCTCATAGTCATAGGGGTGAGTGTAATAAATTGACAAGATAGATTGTTGCCCAATTTTCGAAGATGCTCATAGGTTAATCTCCAGGATTTGCCGGCCCAGTTTTCGAAGATGCTCATAATTATATGGGCGAGTGTAATAAATTGACAAGATAAATTGATGCCCAATTTTCGAAGATGCTCATAGGGGTGAGTGTCTGCGTTGTACTACGTAATTCTAAAAAAAAAGTTATAAAATAAATTGACAATATAAATTGATATGAAATATACTCCACGAACATGCAAGTTAAAATTCAACTTCTATATGTTTTAACAAAAATAATAAATATAACTACGAGCGTACGATAACTATTTTTAGTTTAATTTGTCTTTTTTACAACATTTAGAAGTCGAATTTACCGTTACATATTTGCGGAATAATATATTGCCTATTAATCTATATTGTCAATTTTTTGTAAAATAAATTTATAGCCGTTTAGGTAATATGCAAGCGTCCTCTGGAGAAAGGAAAATCCATATCCAATTGAGAGGAAGCAGAGGGGGAGAGAGGAAGGAGGCAGGAGGCTGCCATAACTCCGCCCGCAACCTCCGCTCTCTGTCTCGCGGTGACCTCGTACGTACCCCCGCGCTAGCTGTTAATGGAAACGCCGCGCCCTCTCCTCCTCCCTTCCCATCATCCTCCCGCGGCCTCGCCCTCCTCTTCTTCTTCTTCCTCCTCCTTCCCCTACAGATAGCGAAGCGAGATGGATTGTTGTAGATAGGATACGCATACTGTGGCTCTTCCCCCCTAGCTTCTTCCATCTCCTCGATCGTGTTCAGTTTGATTTTGGTTTTCGCTTGTCACTGTGTGGGTGGTGGTGTTGTTGGCCATGGCGAGGAGTGGTGGGGAGTTGGTGGTGGTGGAGGAAGACGATGAGTACGCCAAGCTGGTCAGGAGGATGAACCCACCCAGGTACGTATGCTGCACCTGCACGCACTAGTATCATCGATTCATCATCGTGCAGACACCCCCAAATTCAATACTCCATATCGATTTGGTCCTTTCTTTTCTTCTTTTCTTTTCATGTCTCTAGTAGATGATTAATTTGCGCTTCATATGTTTGGATTTGCCGCGTAGAAACGTTTGTCTTTTTGTGCTGTTTTATTTGTTTTTTACTCCCTCCGTCCTATAATATAAGGGATTTTGAGTTTTTGTTTGCAACGTTTTACCACTTGTCTTATTCAAATTTTTAAAATTATTATTTATTTTATTTATGACTTACTTTATTATCTGCAGTACTTTAAGCATAACTTTTCATTTTTTATATTTGCAAAAAAAAATTTAAATAAGACAAGTGGTCAAACGTAAAAACTTAAAATCTATATTGTGGGACGGACGGAGGGAGTACTAGCGGAGCAGCATGATGAGAGATTGTTGGCTTTGCTTTTCTTTTTCTTTTTTTTTTGGGTTTTGAAAACAAATATTGGTGTATTATCCTTCACCAGTGTTGATGGTAATGTTGTGTAGTTAATGGCTGCGCCATTTTCGCCAGGATTTTCGCGCTTAAACATCTCTTGCAATGTTCATGGAATCCATTGCTATGAATCGGAAGCAAATCCTGTGGATTAAAATAACATCAAACTCCTGTATGCTCTGCCTGAGTGCCTGTTACCTACTCCGTAGTGTATTCTCCATTTCCTTTCTCATCATCAAACCATTTCATCACTTCCAAAGTTATAGGACAAGTTTTTGAAAGAGAATTTTCAAAGCTGAAGTTGTCAGTAATAACACAAATATCTTCTGCAATTTACTAAAAAAAATCTCTGAAAAAATAAAATAAAATCTCATTCTGTTTTGATGAGCTTGGCCATGTTGATCTTTATTCTCCTCTGCCTTTTGCTACCTCAGTCCATGTTCTCCAAAGCTGAGACTGTCCTTGTTGGATTCCCCTCTCCTTTTTGGCAGAGGAAAGGTGGCTTATCTGGAATCTGTGATTCTTATGCTGCAACCCTAGTAAAGAGGCTTTACAATCCAACTGTCCCTCTAACCAACTTACAAATGGACTGTTCCCCATTTAATAAATGGATTCCAAATTAGCTTGTATCCTAGTATTGTAGTATATGAGTTGTTGCTAATTCATTGCCACCATATATGAATATTCTGTGTGCGTGTCTCTATTATAACATGAGCTTAATTATGTGGATATTTCACCTAAACCGAGCCTATCAAAATGTTTTAGCATCTCATTGATATATTCCATATGAGTGGGACATTCAGTCCACCATTCTGCAAATAGAAAAGTAGTGCCTCTCTGAATTATGCACTCAACTCAAAAGATCAACTGCCGAGCGAAATATTTATCGGAGAAAAGGTGAAAGACTTCAACAAAGTTTATAACTTTTTAAAAACTTCATGAAAAATTATCTAGTTGAGTGGAATTTGATTATGTCAAGGCATCTTTTGAAGACCATAAGAGGCTCATAGTATAACTGGTGACTGAATTTTCTTGCAGTGTTGTGATAGACAATGACTCGTGCGACAGTGCAACTGTCATCCGGGTGAGATAGTGCTTCCCTTTCGGACTGGACCATGCTAATTAAATATCTAACTAACCTCTCTACTCTTTGTACTACTACTAGCTTAGCATAGTTATTAGTAATTTGACAAAGCTTGGACTTTTCTGTCTTGCCCAGGTTGATAGGGTCAAGAAGCATGGCATTTTACTGGAGGCTGTTCAAGTACTTGTGGACCTCAACCTCGTCATCACCAAGGCTTACATTTCTTCAGACGGCAACTGGTTCATGGACGGTATAACAACTGATTAGCCCTCTTAATCTCTTGGTTTGATAACATCTTTTCCTTGGAAAAACATGTACTACCTCCGATTTCATTTTAATTAATATTTTAGATAATGATATGGTCTATAAATTATATCTTTGATCTTATTTTTCTATTATAATATATACAATAAATAAATATATGTTTATTTTTATTACAGTGCTTTGAAAGATAAATCTATGTATGTTGTTCTAGTTTCTTTAAACTAAATATTTTTAGTTATTAATGGTTAAAATTATAAAAGTTTTACCTTAATATTGTCTAAAACGTTAATTATTATAGAATCCAAAACGTTAATTATTATAGAATCGGAGCTAGTAGGGAGCAGTAATTCAGTAAAGTTTGGTTGACTTCTCTTCTTCCCTTTCTCACTTGGCTCATGTCATGTTCAGTGTTCAATGTGACCGATCAGGACGGCAACAAGGTGCAGAACAAGGAGGTCACTGACTGCATTAAGAAAGTATAATTACTAGTTATTGCGTGCTTAATTACTACTGATAATGATAGCTCTTGCTTGCTAAAGGTGATAATTACTGACCTTGGTAATGTGTTACGCTACAGTGCTTGGAGTCGGAGGATTACCTCGTGCTGCCGGCGAGCTCGCCGGCCGGCGGCGCTGCGCCGTCGGAGGAGACCACCTGCATCGAGCTCACCGGCACCGACCGGCCGGGGCTCCTCTCCGAGGTGTGCGCCGTGCTGGCTTCGCTGAGGTGCAACATCGTGAACGCCGAGGTGTGGACGCACGACCGCCGCGCCGCCGCCGTCATCCAGATCACCGACGAGGCCACCGGCCTCCCCGTCCGCGACGGCGGGCGGCTGTCCCAGCTGCAGGAGCTCCTCGGCAACGTCATGCAGGGAGACGGCGACGGCGGCGGTGACAGCAGGAAGGGCAGCACGGCCGTGTCGCTGGGCGCCGCGAACGCCGAGCGGCGCCTGCACAGGCTCATGCTCGACGACGGCGACGCCGGCCGATGCGGCGAGGAGCGGGGCGGCGTGGCGGCGGCGAAGGCGAAGGCGAAGGTGGTGGTGATGGACTGCACGGAGCGGCGGTACACGGTGGTGATCCTCCGGTGCAGGGACCGGCCGCGGCTGCTGTTCGACACGCTGTGCGCGCTCACCGACCTGCACTACGTCGTCTTCCACGGCACCGTCGACGCCGAGGGCGGCAGCGCCAAGGAGGCCTACCAGGTAATGCCATGCCATTGCCTGAACCAATCACCTAACGAGCTCACCTCACCACCACCTCATGGCCGTCGGCTGTGGTTGCATTGCAGGAGTACTATGTCCGGCACGTCGACGGCCACCCGGTGCGCTGCGACGCCGAGCGCCTCCGCCTCGTCCGCTGCCTCGAGGCCGCCGTCGAGCGCCGCGCCTCCGACGTACGTGCCCGCCATCAGCATTCACGGCATCGTCATTGCCATTGTCACTGATCGTAGGCAAGGTGTTCGATCAAATGTTGTAGGGGCTGGAGCTGGAGGTGAAGACGGAGGACAGGGCGGGGCTCCTGTCGGAGATCACGCGTGTGTTCCGGGAGAACAGCCTGTCGATCATCCGGGCGGTGATCACCACCAAGGACGGCGAGGCCGACGATACCTTCTACGTCTCCGACGCCTACGGCAACCCCGTCGACGGCAAGGCCATGGAGGCGCTCGGCGAGCAGCTCGGCCACGCCGTGCTGCGCGTCAAGAGCAACGGCCGCGCCGCCATCAACCGCGCCGAGGACAGCGGCGGCGGCGGCGCGGCGGCCATCATTGGCAACCTGCTCAAGGGCTCGTTCCAGGGGTTCAGGCTCATCAGATCCTACTCCTGAAAAAAAAAATTGCTCATTTTCTCACCAAGAAGATCAGAAACACGACCTTGTTCATACATAAGAATCTGACGACTTTAGCTTAGGAAATAAATGGAGAATGGGGTGATGTAAATAGTCTTGTGGATATCTGAAAACGCCATTGCTTCTTCAGCATCATACACTTAGGTTAAGGTTAACTTGCATTGTACATATAATTTGTAAAGTGGTTCTCATCTAAAATTTGTGGTTAAACCCCAGTCTGAGTGAGGAATCCATATATCAAATCATACACACAGCCCTAAACTCTCCTTCTTAAAGTAAGTAAGTTTATTTTCACCTATATCACATATATCAAATATAAAATTTAAAAAATATATTATCCTGCTTTATCAAATCTCAATATAATTATCTCATTTTATCCATTCATAATATTTTTTTTATTTTTACAAATACCGATACAATGATTGCTTAAAAATAAATTTATTCTAGATCGAAGGGACTCATGTTTGGCACAGCTCCACTTTTTCTGGAGTTGGAGGTTTCAGCTCCACCTAAAATGGGAGCGGAGCTATATCACAAAATGAAATAGAGGTGGAGCTGGGTTTAGGCAGCTTAACAACTCCACTTTAGACCTAACTCCTAGAGCTAAATTTAGAAGTTTAACATCTACCAAACAGGCTTTACGAAAGAATATTCATATTCTATAATGGAGGGAGTAGGTACCAGCAGCAGTAGCAGCTTCGATTGTCAAAACATCAGTGCCTATTTGGTAAAGTTTCAACTCCTAAATTTACTTAAGGAGTAGGGACTGGAGTAGAGTTGTCGAGCTGCTTAAACCTAACTCCACCTCTAGTTCATTTTGTAAGAGAGCTTCATACAGCTCCAATCTTATTTTAAGTGGAACTGAAACTATTTAGCTGAGATTCATCTTAGAGAGAGGTGGAGCTGGAGCTGTGCCAAGCCCTCAATGCGAATGGCGGCGTACAAAACGGCCTGCCAGTTTTCGGCTCCACGTCGCCGGTGTCCAAATGGGAATGGCCACCGTCCTTTTTTTTCCTCCTCCGCCGCCCGCTGGAGGTGCAATAGAGGGCGGAGCAGTAAGTGAACTCACAGTCGGGGCGGCACGGGCGGGGCCCACGCCCCACCCACATCTCGAGGCAGTAGCAGAGGAGAGAGCGGCCAACCAAGCCACGCCGCATCGCCGACCCAGCGCGCCGGCACTCCCTCCACCTCCGGCGGCGAGGCGGGATTTTCGTGGGGGATTGGGATTTTTTTTTTTCCTCTACCCGGGATTCATGGGTGTTGGATTAGACCAATGTTTGAGGGACTTAAAATAGACTTATTCCTAATCGGAATCCCGTATCGGCCCAACAGAAGTTGCAATACCCAGTCATCCCTCCTCTGGTCGATTGGATTCCCCTTCGCTGGCATCCGCTCGTCCAGACCACCGCCGCCGTCCGCCGGCCGCTTCCCCTTCGCCGCCGGGAGCAAGATCAGGCGGCGGGGGCTCGTCGGGATCTGCCCCCATCCATGGACTCGCTTGGCGCCGCTTCTGATTGCTCCGCCTCGCGTTGATGCGCTGCGCGCGGCATCGAGCCACAAGGTGATTATTCCTCGTCGGAGTTAGTCCTATTTCCAGCAAATTAGCCAAACAGAGGTTCACAGATCGAAAGTTCAACAATATATATCGCTCTTGTGAAGTTGTGGTTTGGTCTCCCTTTCCAGAGTGATGGGATTTGGGGTGGTGTGATTATGCTGTCCGGGAGTAGTTTGATAAGAATGACTATGCTAGAAGAGAATAATCTTGCATTGATCTGATGTTGTGTTTGCTAGGAATGTTACATAATGGTGTGTCCTTTTCTTTTTTTTTGCTGCTTGTGTAGGTTTTCCTCATATTAATCAATAATCATGGCGCTTAGCAAGGTTGAAGTGAACTTGTTAAGGTTGCTTGAGGCAGCTCCTCGGCAGCAGAACCAGGCTAAACTTGTCCATGTAAGTGTAGCTCATATGGTTTTTCTTAAATAGGAAATTTTCCATCATGCTTTGTTTCTGTTAATAGGCTAATTATATACCTTTAGTTAGGAGAACAAAGAATCGCTCAAGTGTGTAATTGTGTGTGTGTTGAAAGTGAGAAGGGGGTATTTCTGGATTAGCTTATGTGTTTCAATATTAGCACTTACTAGTAGCTAATGTATGTTCTCTTTAATCTTCTTTATCTTTTGAATGGAATTTGTGGTAGCACTAACATTCTCCAAACCCTTGCAGTATGTAACCACAGCCAGGGAATTGTTGGAGCAGCTAGGAGCAGAAACTACTCCAGAAGGGATATCAAGGTATCATGAGTTATTTGGTCTCTATAGCCGTGCACAACTATTTTTTTTTTTGGGGGGGGCGGGGGGGGGGGGGGGGGAGTATTGAGTTGACTATAGTGCAACCTTCAGTCTGTTATCCAGCTATAATCTGTTGAGCATCCATACTTAGAAAGCTCTCCAGTTAGTACATGACAAGGCAAAAACCATCAAATCCCTGATCCAACATAAAACTGTTTTAGGTGCTAAAATTATGATTCACTAACTACTTAGCTACACCTACCTGAAGTTAATTACTTGTCAGTAAGCTTTGTTTTCATTTGGTAACAGTTGTTCATGAAAATTTCAATACTCATTCTGTAAAGATATGCTTTTCCGTGCTCGAGAAAAGAACAATTATATGAATGTTTACTATGTAAAATTTAGTTATCATCCTTCATTTTGATGAACCTCAGTTTCATTATGTAGATTTCTGGATTTTTGCTACCTTTTCCATTAGCAATTTTATACCTTGTCTATTCGCCAGGTTAGTCAGTGGAGCAGAGCAAGCATTTACGTACATTGAGTTTTTTTTTTGTGTTACTTGTGTAATATAATATTTTTCCCCATGATCGAATGATGTTCATTCATGACTTTCTTCCTTGTCCAGTGTATCAAAAGCTAAGATAAGTGAGTATTCAGAAAAGATTGAAGCATTGGCTGCCCGGCTTGCTGTTCCAGAGGTATGCTTTTGTCGTGCTGATTCATGTTTCCAAATGATATCTTAAATTCCTCTATTGATACTTCATTTCTTTTTTGGGGGTGGGAAATACTTCAATTCAATGCAACCACCAACTGCAGCATATGGTTTACTTTGTTTTTTCTTCAAACAAAATCAACTTACTTTTCAGAACATGCAGCCACAATAACTCATATAGATTATACTTTTCATTGATTTTTTTTGTTCAGCCAGAAAATGAAGTGCCAGTTGATGAGAATAGAGAGGTAGAAAGCTCTTATGAAGGAGAAAAGCCAGGAAGTCCAATATCATTATCATCAGGATTACGTAGGAGACCAATGTAAGTTTTAATAATTTGTATGTTGTTTCCGTTCTTTGCATAGTTATTACAATTAGCGAGCTAATGTATGTAAATTGAACAGAGCTCACACCGATGTTGGACCTAGCAGTCATGCGAGAAAGGATAGAGACATTGGAGCACCTATTAAATTGGATGCAGAAGCGCAGGCTCACATTGAGAAGCATAGGTAGGCTAAACCACATACCAATTCGTTGGTGGTTTTAAGTTTTATCTGAGTTTGCTATTATGAAACATTAAAATAGATGAGAATGTCAACTTTAACTGTTGCCTTCCTTTTCTCCTGATATTCCGAGACCCAAGCTTGGGAATTTTTGGTGTTGTACTAGACAGAAAAAAAAAACAAACCGGTTATTTTCTAACTTTGATGGATCTTCTAACCGTACAGGAAGCTACAAGAAGATCTGACTGACGAAATGGTTGAGTTAGCACGCCAACTGAAAGAGAGCAGTCTCACCATGCACCAATCTGTTCAAGAAACAGAGAAGGTAGTATATGCCTCTTTCCTTCACCTGTTTTCCTGCATCTATGGCGTGTTGACATTGGCAATTTGTGTGTGTAGATCCTTGATTCCACCGAGAGAGCTGTTGAGCATAGCTTGGCGAGCACTGGGCGTGCAGCCACGCGAGCAGCAGAGGTGTACTCGTTGGCTTCCAAGACGACATGCTTCCAGTGGCTGCTCATCTTCATGATGACATGCATGTTCATTATGGTGGTTTTGCTCATCCGGGTCACCTGAGTTATAGCTGCGTCCGCCGAAATATTGAACTAGTATCTGATGATTCTGTTTGACATTGAGTTTTGTATTCAGTTCTGACATGAACATGAACGGAAACAAAGAAAAGAAAACAAAAACGTTTGGAAAGCGTCTGCCCTTTGTGTGCCCTATCTTCTTCTTCTTCTTTTTTAAGGAAACTACGACAGGTGCTTAACACCATTCTGAACGTTTATTATAATTAAGAGGTAAAATTATAAAAGTATAAAAAGAGCATGTACAGGTGAAGGAGGAAGAAGCTAAAGCTCAAGCATTTCCTATTTCGCTAAATTCGTTTCACCCAATAGCTGAGGGACGGGCGGAGTTAGATCCTACTCCTGAAAACAATTTGCTCCTTTTCTCACCCAGAAGATCGACCTTGTTCATACATAAGAATCATTAAGAATCTGACGACTTAGCTTAGGAAACAATGGGAAACGGGGGTGATGTAAGTAGTCTTGTGGATATCTGAAACCGCCATTGTTTCTTCAGCATCATACACTTAGGTTAAGGTTAACTTGCATCGTACATATAATTTTCTACAGTGGTTTTCATCTAAAATTTGTGGTTAAACCCCAGTCTGAGTGAGGAATCCATGGCTGAGATGGGTTGAAATGAGCTGGACCTGAATTTGCTAGCCTTATGGCCCTTTGCAAAATATCACCATGTTTTTCTGGTGGAAATTTTCTCCTAGCTCAAGATGAACAAACTTCATTTCACATGTTTCTGCCTTAAAAGTACTCGTAGAAAAAAAGAAGATCACGTGTACTCCTAAGTTGCAGCACATCATGAACGACGCCCTCACATGAACTGCCACGTTTCACTGGCATCCATCCATGGCTGTCACCACAAGCTTCACCACGCATCTCATGTGATGAGGCGAGCTTGGTCGGCGACCTTATTCAAGTGCAGTAACTAACTAATACTCCCTTCGTCCAATAATATAAGATATTTTAGTAAGATTTAACATATCTTAATACTACGAATCTGGACATGTGAATCTGAACAAAAAGACTGTCTAAATTCATAATACTAGACAGTAGCGGTACTCGCTTAGTATTAAAATAAATTTAATTTTCACCTATATCACATATATCAATATAAAAAATTATAGTAACTTACTTTATCCTTATGCTTATGCCTGAGTGGCCGCAGGTTTCCTCACCCTTCCCGTCTTCCCCTTCTCCGATATAGTCTCCTGGCCACCCCTCTAAATCCCGGTGAACCACCCTCCTCATCTTCCCCTAACCCACCCCTAACTTCTAATTAGTAGGTTTTCTGTCATAATTTAGGTTTTGTTAGTAAAGAAAAAGATGAAGAGATCGATCATCAAGGAGAGTGTCGTCGTCGTCGCAATCGCTGATAAGCCCGGGCTACCCCCTCCCCCCACCACCCTCTTCTCTCTCTTTAATTTCTCTCTTGTTGCCTCCCCTAGTTTGGAGGATGAAGGATGAAGGTGACTCGAATACTATGATTAGTTATATTACTGACATAGGGTTATGAGAACCAACAAAAATCAACATGTTGATGGAATGGAAGAGAGATGGACACGAATGTATATTTAACAAGTGCATATGTATTTGTATAAATATATAGATATATTAATGCAATTATATATATTAAAAATAGATCACATGAAAAATCCTATATATATCTTAATTTATTATGCTCAGTTTGTGGTTGCTATGTTGTGTTATGGTTGTTTTATTACAAAACCAAAAACTTACAATTAATGGTCGTATATGTTTTCTTTTACAGATCAAATTATAGCCACTTCAAACGGAATTTTAATAGTAGTAGTATTATTGTTTGTGACATACAAATTATAAAAAGAAGGGGGGGAAAGGGAAATTGATGGGCCCGTGCTTTGTGGTCAGGTCGGGTGGGTCATTGTATTTCAGTTGAAGAATTTTTTTCGGATTTAGATTTTTTTTTTAATATTTACAGAAATAATCTATCGACCAAAAAAATTGCAGAAATAGCCCCTGCCGCCCAATTGGTGGGCGGCAAGCTGACGTGGCAGACGGTGGGTCGACCGCGCAGTCTGCCGCCGTCGGCCAAAATTGCGATTAGGCCCTTGCCGCCCATACAGAGGGCGGCAAGGGGCTAATTGCAATTTTGGTCGCCCATTCAGAGCTTGCGGCTGTACTTTTTTCATCTGGGTCCCTTGCCGCCCCAATAGAGGGCGGCAAGGGACCCAGATGAAAAAAGTACGGCCAAAAGATTTTTCTATGCTATGTTAATAATAAATAAAGAAGTATTTATTGGTAAAACTTGTTAATATTGTTATAAAAATGTATTGAAGTTGGTTGTTGCGCAATTTCATATGTTAAGTGAGGTATTATTTTGTACCTTATTCGACGTATTAGTACTCGGATAATTTATATAGGCCTATCGCAGTCTAGGTCGTAGAAACATTATATGGACTTAAACAAGGAGAATTATGTAACATGAAGAAATAGTAGTACAATTTGAACATGATACAACTATTTGCATTGCGGTTACATAGATGATATTAGATTCGAACTAGGAGGGAGGTAGTGCAATAGTTGAACACAACGACGATGTAGTAATGGGACAAGGAAGCATGACAGTAGAAATTTCAATATGCCAAGTTGTCCGATAATAGCTAACCCCTATGTGAGGATCCCTCTCCTCTCTCAAACCGCGCTTTATTAACCCTGTATTGCTCTGGTAGTTCAAGCTGCACAACACGGCTAGGTGGAGTTAGAACCCTTCTGGTGTCTATCCATTCTCTGTATTGACATCTCCTTGGTGGTTCCTGGGAGGAAAGAATAGATGTAAAGCAAGCAAAGTTAGTAAATGTTGTGAGAAAATAAGGAATCATGTAATCAAAATATTTTTACCATGAAATCGTCATCAAGAATATTTGGACAAACAAAGAACCTTCGACCCAATGTTGTAGGATTTATGGAACGAAGAACCTGACAACGATCACCACACCTGCATCTTGGACGGGCTTTCCATGGAGGGAGTGCCGTAGTTAGCACCCGCCAGTCGCTCTGTTGTTCACGACATTGTCGTTCATAAGCCGCTTTTCTCTGTAAGTATTGCTCAGTACTTTCGGATGCGAAATACCAGCGACCTTCTTGTAAACAAGTGGTTAGGTCGAGAACGGGATTTTCTTTATCGACGCACTCGATGTATGCGCAAGCCGTAGTGCGGGTCTGCCGAATAGAGTAGTGTTACGAAGAATAAAGCGATTGCCCATACGGAATGAATAAGCATATCCAGATAATAAAATACCTCACGGTCATAGTTAGGGCACCTAAAAAAGCGCCTTCCTCGAATATCAGGATTCCTCGAAGCCATTAGTTGGCATCGATCACCGCATAGGCAGAGAGGACGCTGGCACCAAGGTGGTAGTAGGTATACACAAGGATCGCTACGCCAGTTTGGATCCTCAACACCCCGACGTCTAGCCATTGACGAAAGCCGGTCGGATTTGTAATGAAGCAAGTGGGGAAGAGAGTACTGAATGTGACTGAGTTCTGAAAGATTGTGAGGCCTCACTCGTTAAGGCGACTTATATAGGCGCAAAAAATCGAGTGATACCCCTGACATGTGAACGTGGTGGGGTATGGTGGGTACGCCTGATTGGCGCCGAAAGATACATGCATGATCGGCACCGAAAGTTACATTGGTCGTATGCGCCAAATGGTGGGCAAATAATCATATCACACGCGAATAAAGGAGGCTGCATCGGTGCGGCAGAAAGTAGTCGTGCATGCGCCGAAAGGTATCGTGCCTTTGCCGAAAGTTATCGTGCACATATAACAACAACGTAGTCATTACACAAGCATACAATACTGGAAAGTGAAGCAAGTAAACAAAAAGAAGACTGCTCTACTGGCCCTGCCCCGCGCCGCGACCACGCTTGGTCCTCCGGGCCTGTGCTCGCACGTGGTCCTGGGAGTAGGTGAAACGATCCGGTGGCACAACACGGGTAGCACGAGTGTCCCGCGGAGGAGTGGCCTGCGCCTGGTCCTGCGTCTGCACCGGCGGTGTGCCTCCCAGCTGTGAGGGGCCGATGACGTCCTCTGTCGAGCCTGAAGCGAAGTCGAAGTCATTGATGTCGAAGAGCACGGTGGAAGACAGGAAGGGGTCCGACGAGGTCCCAGCATGGTCCAGTGGTGGACCCTGACTCGACATGCCGGCTGCCTGTGACGCTGACCATGCAGCCTGGGAGAAGTGGGCGGCCTGCGTTATAGCGAACTGGGCGAAACCTACACATCGACAACGGGACCCTTGTAAGCTAAGACATAAAATGTATGTAAATTGATTGTGGAAGTAATGTTGTTTTTTTAAGTACCTGTGGGGGGCACAACAGAAGGCCTAGCCGAGGAAGGCGGGGTGCTGAACGGTGCACGAAACCCTGAAGCAATCGGCAAGTGAAACGGCTCACTTATATGTGCGAGGCATGTACAGAAGTAGTAATAAAAATACTTACCTCCGTGCGGAGGGGGAGTCGGCCTAGGAACGTGCGCAGCTGGACGGGGACCAGTCGGTACGGGTGGCCGCTGTACAGCTGCGTCTGCCCGAGCAACGTCGTCTGCACGACAGGTGAGCACTCGGAGAATCGAGCGCATCGACTCCACCATCCGCGTGTACGTCGTCAGGTGCTCCTCTACGGGTACCGGAATCCCCGCGTCTAAACGTTGGATCGTCGTTGAACCGTCAACGACGACCCGGTTGATGTCGTCGACCTGCATGGTTAATTTGTTCATAAATATTCATAAAATTTGACGATAAGAAAGACATGAAAACATAAAGGAATGGTGCGATGCAGGGTACTCACAACACGAGCGAAGTCCTGGTCGCGGTGCCTGGCGTAGAGGTCTTTAGTGCTCGCAACGTGGGGCTGCTGCTCCAAGGGAGCGAAGGTGACCCTAGTACGGGTGCGTGGCTGGTACCAGCGTAGGTAGGCCTGGTACGACTCCTCAGTGTGTGGCTCTCCCTCGTGGTCCACGACCTCCTCGGTTGCGAGCAACCAGTCCTCAACAAAAGTCGCCAACTTGGCGGGCCAGTCGCCAACTGAATGCTGACCCTTGCGCGAGTACCTGCGAATTAATGTGTAATATTAGTGTGAAACGAC